GTGATAGTGGTGATGGTGGTGGTATTGTCGATGATGGTGGTGGTGTCGGCAGTGGTAGTGGTGGTGGTGGTGGCGACGGCGTCGACAGTGGTAGTGGTGGTGGTAGTGGTGGCGACGGCTGCGACGACGACGATGGTGATGGTGGTGATGATGGAAGTGGCCACGACGGTGGTGGTAGTGACGATAGCGGCGGCAGCAGTCGCGACAGTGGTAGTGGTGGTGGGAGTGGGGGTAGGAGTGAGCATGGTGATAGAGATATTGTTTAAGCGGTTTCAAACACTATTTTCTTTTTAAATATTTATGAAAAATAATTTCTAAAAATACCTTTAAAAAGTCACTCTAAATACACCCTTAGGGGCCTATTTTTTCTATTAAATTTAGGGTGTTAATATTAACCGTTAGATTAACTTTAAAGTAAAATTTAAAGCGATCTCAATCGCGAATAGTAAAAGTCATTTTATTTATCTTTTGAGATTTGAATTGTAAGTTACTTTATTATATAGATGAGCAAAAGACAACTTTAAGGAGTAAATAAATGAACAATAGCTGATTTATATAGAAGAGGTATAATCCAGTGCTCTTTTACTCCACTGAATTTCTTATAACAGTAGTTGATTTGTCAAAGAATGCAGTATTGATATTTTACTCTTTTTTCTCCTTTGAGATTTAGTAAAAAGTCTAGAAAACAGATCTGTTGAGATCAGAAAGGCAGTCCACAAGGTTTCTGAATAATGACTAAAGAGATACCTTTTCTCTCATGCGTGAGCTCCAGCTGTCAGAGTGAGTTCTAATGCCTTTGATTGACCCATATGTTTGGCTTAGTTGTGGATTTAGCAGTGGTGTTCTATTGCTAACATCATAGCCTCCCTCAATGTCACTGTCTTCTCGCCTTATAGAAACCATGGCTCGCAGGATCATTGCGAGAAGTAGGGATAAAACCTGAAAACAAAACCAAGGAAGATGTCTATCAGACACGATTAGCACATCCAAGTATCCAACTAACAGATGACAATCAAATTTACAAAAAAATGTCAGAATTATGAGTTGCGATTCCTTCTGCACATGCTCTTTTAAATGAGTATTTCCGCTTTCTCAGTTGAGGGGTTAAGGGGAGGATTGGAGTTAAATCATGAATATTAGTACTTGGTGTGCTTTATAAAGAAACAAACCTTAGGATTCCATGAATAGAACTGATAGGAGCTAAAACAAACCTGAATTACAACCAAACTGATTCCAACCCACTTACAAACTTCAACATTGTTTTCGATGAAAGCCCGAATTCTATAAAGTTCTCCAGTTGGGTCAAATGGAAGATCCTGAAAATTATATAATAGATATGTAAGCAGGATCAAAAACCAACACACCAGCACGAAATATCAAAATAGCAACTGCACCTTCTCCCAATGATGATCAAGTGCAACAAATGCCACCAAAGCCACTTCCAGTAAAATGAGTGCGGTTGTGAGTAAAGCATGCTAAGTATTTTATGAGGTTAAGGATAAATGTACAAGGGCATGAGTTCAGCTACAAAAACATTAGTTAGCAAACTAAGGGATTGTCTAACATCAATATTAGATGCGGAAAAATGAATCTTCAGAAGTTGCTCCATTGAGTTCCATTCAAAAAGAAAAATAATCAGTACCTAGATAATTACTCTCAACTAATAAAGTTCCATTTTCAGATTTTATTAGAATAACAAAACCTAATTTGCACTTATCTCGGTACAAGCTCAGCAAACATTTTTCCAAAGTTCTCAGTAGTCCTACTTCAGCAATACCACGTCCTATGAATCCGTTAGTTATTAATTATCCAAAAACATTGCATAACCAAACCATCAAACCCAATTTTGGAATTGGAGCTGTAAATCCACTAATAACGAGATCAGAATGGAGCAATTATGTAATCATTTTAATTCAATCGTCTAACAGTATATAAGCAATGCTAGAGATAAATTCTAAGAGAACTAACAGAAGTGGTTATTCTTAACCAAGAGAGAGGATACAAAGCAAAGGCAACACCCATTAATTGCTTCAGCTCCAATGTGACCAATGCAAGAGATACAACATACCACAACCCCCACTCCCATAAATGCATATATGAACCTACCACAAAAAAAATAAGCACCAAGTTATCACAATTGACAAAACACGATGGTCCCTCCAGATATAACACACTCGTTCCTATCTTATCATCAATTACAATAATCAAAAAACAGAAAATCAGATAAAATTATAAATAAAATCACTGAACCATGGAGCGGGAAGATTTTGGACATTGAATTCTAGACCGGAAACGACGTTGGCTGCCAAATTCAAAGGAGTGACGTGATCAGGACCCTTAACTGCGTCGAAATTCGACAAAATTGCGTCAGGAAAGTCCGGCGACGGAGGTAAATGTACAGGGCTTTGAGAGTGATTGTTATGCCATTGATTAAGCATATAGGCAGAGTATATAACGATCGAGAGACCAACGAATGTTTGGAGGAAATTAACGAATTTGAGAATGAAAGCGAGGAAAGTGTGGCAACACCGCCGAGTGGTACGCATTTTCTTGTGCTTATTGCTTTTGGATCAGAGATTGTGAATTTGAAACCCTAACCCTAGAAGATTAAATTAATGGCTGAACAAGAGCGATCCCTATCAGTGCTTTGAATTTTTGCTTTTATGTTCTCAATTTTTTGTGTTTTTTTTTTCTTTTGTGGTTTTTTTTT